GGGTACTAAGAGGTTTATGAATACAGTGAGGAAAAAACTGACCATTTGTATTGCTCTCTTCTTGATCTTGTTCCTCACACTGTTCGGTCAAGATGCCTAGTCGGTCTGTAGACCTAAAAGAAATTGTTTTACAGATGCCACCACGTTGGCCTGCTCGTAGTCGCCCATCTCGATTTCCCCTTCTAAACCGCCCCTCATGGTCAGCTAGCCACGTTCCAGAATAGGTTTCATGAGAGCCCTGGGGCTGCCAGCTAGAATAAAGGTTTTCGCTACTGCAAAGGTGGTCTTGATTAGGGTTAAGCAGAGTAGGCGCTTGGTCAATGGGCCCTGGCATAAGTCTGCATGCCGAAATCAAGCCTGAAGCTCCACCAGCCGATGTTTGCTCTGCTGTTGCAGAGGAAGAGGCCTGATTTCGAATATTCTGGATGGAAGTAGCTGTGACAAGATGGCGAATCTGTCGGAGACAGAGATCGGCCAAGCTAGGATTCAAGTAAAGTACGTAGCAATCAGAGAGCTCATTGAGGTCTGCTCCCAAAGATGGAGGAGTGGAGAAAGAGGAAAGAGAACGACGGAAAGCGAATTAAAAAAACCAGCTTTGGTATCACTCACTTTGCACACAGACCACTAGTTTTAATATCTGTCAGCCGCAAACATCTTTCGCACCGACCAATCAAACCTCGTCATCATACAGAACCTTTGGCGCTAATCTGAAGCCGAAATTTAAATCACACAAGGATTTGAGCAGGAAGAACTGCTGGACTTATCACTTCCCCAGGACTCTGTCTTTCTCCCTGACTTTCCCCATTACGCACCAAGTTTGCCAGAAATACCACACTCTATCAGCAGCTTGCTTCAGACTCCGTGTTTAAAGTCCCGACGCTAGTCTCATTTACAGACTGGAGTACCTAATCGTGTGAGCGCCATAACGTCGAGCTAGCCAGCTACTCTCAGCACACTTTCCCCAACATGTGTTACTTAGAATCACCTCGTTTCTTAACTATACATTTGCGGCGTCAAAAATCGGTTGGACCGCATTCAGCCAGCGTCTGCACCAAAACGGTCTTTCAGCGAATGTTTCGTTGAGTCTGCATCTGCATAAATACACATGCTCCGCAATAGCGGTGAGGCTTCCTCGGGACCTACTTCAAGTCATCCGCAGTATTTCATTCGTAATCGACTCCCATGTACACCATACTACTCTGGCAAGCCAATTTGTTGTCCTCTTCCAGCGCTTTTCCCAGTTATCCTGCAGCTCATCTACATTCACCATTAATATACATAAAGACTTCATCCATATTACAATAAACTAGCATAATAAATCTAATCTCAATGAAATTTCAACACCATATTCTCAAGTCCTTTAAATTTCCTTTTGTTGACCGAAGGTATGAAGACCAAGATGGTGTGGCCTTTTGTCTAGTCGCAGTCTCCTTTCGTTGCATATAAATTGTTTGAACTTATATTGGCAACTCTGTCATAGTGGTAGCAAGACTTATAGGAACGCACTTTGTCCGGGATCCATTGTATGCATAATCATTTCAGCGGCTTTCATGAGAACTCTCCGCACTTCACGCTGGCCTTCTCAACCCCCCCCTTTATCCTTGTGCTGGGAATGTTGATCAGTCTGCTTGCTTTGACTAGGTACAATGTTAAATCAAAATGTTTGTGGGTTGGCACACAAGAGACTAGTGCATGGGAAACCATATATTTGTTATTAAGGATAGAAACAGGATAGAAGCGGCGGCGATGGGAGCTAGTGGGCTGACAGTAGGTTCTATAAGAGACGTGGTCCACCTGGCAAAGGCCTGACCATGACACTTGCTTAGAGGCTTTAGCCTCGAATTAGTCACACAGCCGCAGAGGAGGGGTAATAACACCGTGAATAGCAGATAAAGAGAAATAATTGAACCAGAAAGATCGCAGATGGATTCTACGGGAAAAGAGTGAGACTGTGGTAAGACATATGGAAGGAGGACTGCGTAACAATATAGCAGACTCTGATCGACATTCTCAGCACAAGGATGAAGGGGGGTGAGAAGGCCATCGTGGAGTGTGGAGGGTTCTCATGAAAGCCGCTCAAAAGGGCTCACTGTACCACATCTAATTAACCAAGTAAAAAATTGTGACAGTGAAGGCGTGATTGGAGGATAGAGAAAATGTGAATAGGCCAGAGAAGAGGAGATACCACAACTGTTTACCACACGTTTGGCTTCACTTGTCGCTTTGACGACGTGTAATATGGTGCTAAGAATGGTAGAACTCGCTGACGATGCCGACTACGATGCCGGCGAAACGTCTGGGAATGTACTACGTCCACGGTCTAACTTTGGAAATGATTATGCATACAATGGACTCCGGACAAGGTGCGTTTCTCTAAGTCTTCCTACCAATGTGACCAAGTTGCGGAAACAGAGCCAAATAACTTCCTTTTGTTAGAAGTGGGTTGACCTCGTTATCGCAACTTGGTCTTGTGGTCATGGAGACTATGTAAAACGCACCGAGTCCGAAGTCGTCTGCCATAGTAGTGGCCTGGATTCCCAGCATCTGACAGTGGACTTAATACATTCTCAAACGTTTTGCTGAATCGTAGTCGGCATCATCAGTGAGCCTTGCCATTCTCCGCACCAAGATACAAACTCATTAAAGAAACAAGTGAAGTCAATGCCTCGACAACCGTTCTGCTGGCCTATCTATCTACTCTACCCTCTTATCCCACTGCCGCCCTATCACAAATTCTCACTTGTTTACATTCCAATCATCAAAATGTGTGCCCTTTTGTGGCAAACCGGGTGTGGCCTCTTCA